TGATGTGAAAGTTTGCACACACGTGTACCTGCTTTTGTGCGCTGTGTTTCGATATGCATTTTACGCGATTTATTTTGTTTGTACGAATTGTTTAGTAAAACTTTTTTCATGCGGTGTACAATTATGTACAGAGATGGAGACAGACCGCAAGAATGCGATCATTTATTGAATATATCTTCACGTTGAACATATGAAACTAAAATTTTTTTTGTTTAATCACAGGCGTCCGTCCTTCGCTTGATATGGTATTCGTAAAGCACGATTTCGATACAACACGATTTCCAAAAAGTAAATATTCTTTACAATAGATTTTTGCTTTTAGCCTTTCTTTACCATTAATAAAAAGAGTTTCAGCCAATTTTCAGAAGAAGCCCTAGATTAGCTCTCCCAGTGAAACTCTTGGGCCGAAGGGACAGCATAGACAGGGCGGGCACAGAGAAAGGCCCTGAGCTTAAGGGATGCCCGTTCGGTAGCTTAAATTACGTCCGCCCCGTCCGTTCGGTCAATGGTAAACACGTGCAGTTCTTTTCATTGTAATAGTCTGAGCCTATGAATGAAAGTTATAGAACCCCCCCTCCCACATCTCGCGAACTAGGTAGCTCAGCAAAGGCGCATACATCATTCTTAAAGGCCTTCCTTCAATCCTCTTAACGTAGAACTTTCAAATGGCCCTTAAAAATCAATATTGGTAATAGGTTTTCAATGGACAGACAAGAGGATTATAGACATAAGTACTTTACAGAAAAAAAGAGATAGCTATAATCTGAGATGAAAATTACTATCGTAATCGGTTTCATTATTTTTTATTTTATCCTAATGTTGAATTTAATTTTTTTTTAAACAAAGTTTACCCACTTTTCCATGCATATGTACCTTTGGAATATAATTCCATAATGGAATGATGACTCGTTTCCGATACGCGCGATAAATTTTGCATTGATCTCCATTTATTCAAGATATCTTATAACACGATTTGGGTATAACACGAATAGAGTTTCACACAGTACAAATTTTTCAGATTTATGCTATGCCCAAGTTTAAGTTATGTCTTTCCGTACGCAGTTTTAGTTTCAGTGGAAGAGTATAAGAATTTCGTATAACACGATTTCGATATAGCACGATACAAATTAACTGCATTAAGAAGAAACGCCGGTATTGATTTTGTTTGGAAAGCACTTTCTCGCTATTCCGTTAAGCTTTGACTTCTTTTATGGGGACACTCTCTCCAAAGGAAAAGTATTGATTATAGCATTTTATGAAGTTTGTGAAAATTTTTTTGCTGTTGTTTTCCCGCCATGCCTATCTACCGCACAAAAACAAGTCTACCTAAGTACATACACTTGTTATTTGGGAAATTCTGAAGCTTTCCACTATGCTAATGCATTGCCTCAAACGCTTTATAAACCTAAGACAATCACTTTGCAGTGGGTGTGAAGAAAACGAAAAAAAGGAATATACATATAAAATATATATAATAATATATGTTTGCATTTAATATATATCAATAAATATAGAACTATAAACATATACATACACATATATACATGTATATATGTATATAAGTATACAAGCAGCATACAGGCTATGCGCCCTAAGGGTTTGCGCCGCATAGCGGACGGTGTCGGAGGATGCGGCCTTGGTCATCGCTGGCATGATGCCAATCGACCTGCGTGCTAGGCGTGAAGGCCTATATAGAGACGAATTTCACAGACTGTCAGCAGATGCAGCTAGGCAGCGTGCAAAACAGCGATTAGTGGAAGAGTGGCAGGAGCGCTGGAGCAGAGCGGGTAAGGGTAGGTGGACGCAGCGACTCATACCAGATTTACGGCCCTGGGTGAATAGGCAACATGGTGAGGTTGATTTTTATTTGAGACAGATAATTAGCGGCCATGGCTGCTTTAGGTCATATTTGAATAGGTTTAGAATAGAACAGGACTCATTCTGTAGTTTTCGTAAGTGCATCGAAGACGCTGAACACGTTTTTTTTGTCTGTCCGAAATACTATAACGAACGACAGAGACTACAGACGGAAATTGGAGTTTTATCTCTCCCCGACAATCTGGTGACAAATATGTTGCACGACCTGAATATGTGGAAGGCGGTGGGAATGTTCGCCGCAAACATTATGCGAAAGCAAAGACAAGAAGAGCGTCAACGTAGGCTTTTAAGTAGTGCCTCAACGGCTACCCTCCCTGTGAAGGTATACTTAAACGGTCGTGCCACAGGGTAGGGGATAGAAGGGGTGGTTTTTAGCGGGTTAAAGTCTCGCACTGCCCTAACGGGCGCCTGTTGAAGGTTTTCCACCTCACAAAAAAAAAAAAAATATATATATATATATATACATATATATGTATATAAAGCTACATATAATTAAGAACGATAAACATACATATATATATATTTATTTCGAATATATATATATATATATTCGAAATAAATTTTAGTCAAGTAAATTATAGCCATTACCATCTACAACGTTCTGCCAGGAAGTCTAATAATTCCGTGGGTGTAGAACTGCCGTGCTTAGATGGTGAAAAGCTTTTTCAAAGGGTCTTTTTTGAAACCAACTTCAGGGGTCTATTAATGCAACTTTACGGAGAGCGAATTTCTTTGGAAATTTCCTCATTTTCACACCAATTAACACTTTTAAAAATACCGTTGTCAAATTTTAGAGTGAAATATAAAGTAAAGATGACTCAAACTGCTTAGTGTTGGCCGATATATGATACCAAAAACCATCTAGTGAGAAAAATCTCTTAATGAGCTCACGCAATATTATCAAAGAATAATGACAATACTATGCATAGATATCTATATGTTTTTGAACGCATATGTCTCTTAAAAGTCATTTGCTTTCAATTAAATTTCATTTAAATGTATAAAAATTTGCCTAAAGCTTGGAAGCAAGAAGGAAAAACACAAATAGAAAGATGATAATAGCAATTGTTAAAAATTATACGTACACGTAGTTAGGAAGGCATATGCAACCGCAGCCATAGATAGCTTAATATATTTTTTTTCTTTTTTTGCTTCATATGTTGCTAGTGAAATAATAAATAGTGTAAAGTCATTTACATACGGACAGAAACACCACATCTAAAACACAATTCGTGTAGAGTTTACGCTCTCGGAGAGGTTTAAGCGAAGAAGAGTACAATTTTAAATAAAACCTCTTATGAAGCAAATAGGTTTTAAACGAATCTCAGATGACTTACTTCTCTTCTACGATAACATGATCTCAACGGCTATTTATACTTATTTTAAGACTGAATGCTAAGAAAAATGCAGAGCTTTAGAAAAGATTTATTTCGATCTAATCGACACTTGTACCGCATTTCGAATAGATATTTACCTGTGAACGATTGATTTTTGGAAAACTTTTTCTCTCCCCGAAACCAGATTCACTTCCTGAGTGGATAACAATCGTTGTAAGAATTCCATCCAAGGATACGTTGCTTTTTTTTTTATTTGTTAATTTTCCTTTACTAAAAAGAGGACCCCTTTTTAGCAATATGAGGCTTTCATACTTAGTACGCAGTAACATTCATTATTAAGTGTCAAGCTGTAAAAGTTTTTGAAAATTTAAAACAACAGAAAACTTTTAGCTAAATTTAGAACCAAGAGTATCCCAATCTTCGCGTCTTTGAATTTTATAATGACTAGGGACAAATATAAATTTTGGAACCGGTCAGGTTTGTTTTCGCCAACAACAATTTAAATAACCTAAACGTTTGGATTTAACCAGTGAAGATCTATAGTTGGAAATTTGGTTCCATGAGGGTAAATTAAAGAATGATGAGATTTAGAATTCGAAGAAGATTTCAATTTCATTCAATTGTTTTAAATCTTTCACATAAAATATATTCGACATTTTTTTCGTATTACGCTTGTCTTCTGCAGCGATTGTACGAATAGGCAGAGATGTTGGAATATGATGTATGTTAACGACTTGGTCTTTTCATACGCTCGGTGCATATTTTTGTTTTTTTGTGTTTTTTTGTGTTTGATGTATCCTCTTTTATTGAGCATGATAAGAAAAAGATACAGGATAGAAAAGAAATTAAAGCGTATGCAGAGACAAACAATTGCTATATACAATGAATTGAGTTTTGATTCCCAGTTAGCTTTGCATTGCTCATACGAAAGGGCACACAGGATATGTATTTGTTTTTCAACCTTTGTCAAGACTTAATTGAAAACTTTTTGATCATTTCAGATGCTAGAGAAGATAAGGAAAAAAAAAAAAACAAAACACGTTTATACTTTGTTTTATAATCTCTGCCGTTTTCTTTCAATGATTTCATTCTTTTTCGTTTTTGCATTTTTTCATTTCTGTTTTTTTTTTTTTTTTTTTTTTTTTTTGCATTTTCCTTTTAGTTATTATTGTTTTTTTTTTTTGTTTTTTTTTTTGTTGCCATTTTCATACAATCTTTCTTTGTTTGTCGCAGTGATATCATCGTCACCACTATCACCGCCACTATGAATGTTTGCTTCGTTCCCTGCAATCTGCAAGAGTAAATTGATTTAATTGAGTTCAAATGAAAATGTCAACTATCATTCAATAACACACAGAAAACAGCAACATAAACGACAACAATAAATATTCGATTTCCATTCATTAAGCGACGTCACCGCTACTGCCTCTGCTATTATTACTACTGCTACTACTACTGGTGCTGCTGCTGCTGCTGCTGCTGCTGCTGCTTATTCTTTGTGCATTACATTTATGTTGTTTTCTTTCTCTTTTTTTTTTTTTTTTTTACTTATCTTTGCATTTCTTTCGTTCTTTTCAACTAAATTATGCAACATTTCCCAAAGCTTTAATATAATAGTTCGATTTGTTGCGGATTTAAGGTCCCTAGCGAAATGCGGTTTGAGAGCGACTGTTTTTATTCAGGCATTTCTCTTATATTCTTATATTTGCAATTTATTGACTAAAGTCGAGTCGAGTTTAATCAAGTTAATTTCCTTTGGAATAAAAAAATAAAAAAAATAAATAAACTGACGTGCAGTTAATTACAAATGTTTAGGGGTTTCAGCTATTTGTTATTATTGTTGTTGTTGTTGTTGTTGTTCTTATTGTTATTGGTATTCCTATAGCATTCTATATGCATATATGGTGGAAATTTTATTTATTTATTTAATAGAATTAGTTAAATAAGAATTAACATTCTTTAGACAAGCAAGACATGGCCAATAATGTCTAAAGAATAACAAATGAAATGTTAATCCTAACATACCCCTAATTAAATAGGGATAATAAGCTTTGAAACGAGAGAGACAAAGCTAAGCTTAGCTTAACATGAACACACGAACTTGAATGATAATGCAGATACACATACACATATGCACGCGTAGTCTGTCTGTCTGTCTATGAATAAATTTCAATTAAGACTTTCTGTCCTCTATTAGTTGTAATCACGATTTCTTATCAAAAAGACTTAAAGAGTGAAAATATGAAAAAATTATTGATAATTTTTTTAATAAACATAACGGCGGTAAGTTTTTTTTTTTTTTTTAACAACAAACATCTATATATTAATTAAAATTTTTATAATAATAAAATAAAAGATAAATGTGCTTGGATTCGATTAAATTGTTTATAAGCGATTTCATACTCGTAATAGATTAAAAACATAACTTAGGAGAGCAATTACCTCTGATGAGATTGGCCAGCCCTCCGATCGATTAATTTATCCGCTCTCCATTTTTATGGCGGGCGAAAGGTTACTTTCGAGATTGCTTGTAAGGCAGATCAACTTTTTCTCAGAATTAAAACAAGAGACAAGCACAAGATGGAGAGACAGTTACGCAAAAGATCACATTAGATCAATTAATACATACATATGTGAACACATATTGTGGTATTTGTAAGCTTTAGCAGTGAAAAGTGAAGGAAATAGCAGAGGAAGTGATGAGCTTGGTATTAAAATATCGTTTTTGTTCCCCTTCCGCAAAGCATTTTTATTACTTCGTATCACTTTACGTTTTCTTCTTTAATAGGCGGTTGCCTCTTTCAACCGTGTAACAGTGAGGGATTATATCTCCTAATAACCAAGCTCAGGTTTGGGGTCACGTTTTCAATTCGCCCACATGGTTCATACGACAGATGTCCTAAGTGTTTTACGACACTTGCCTACGAATACGTTTGTTTCGACGACCGGTGACCGATGTCGCACATAGAAACGCAAACCGCTACGCATCGTCACTGAGGAATAAAGCGATCTCCATCAGTCAGCGGGCCAGGAGATGTATGAAATTTTAGAACTAGGAACGAAGGAAAGCTGCACCGCATTTGGAATACCTACGGCCAACAAGAATCTCTCTGGGTAGGCATTCCCAGTCTATAGAACAAAGCGCCAGCTTTGCTCGGTCTTCAGACACTCCTATTAGGAGAATGAGGAAAGAAGGGAAAAGATGGAAGGTGGACGCAATCTAGTGGTAGCGAGGTCTACCGCGACTATTCTGTGGCGCATTTTTTGTAAAAATAAAATTGATTTACTTCAGGCATAATTTTATTGAACGGGCTTTAAGCCATGCGTAGGTTGTGGAAGATTTTCATCGTGAAATCATTCTTTAACGAGGTGTCTCCACTCGTGTCAACGACTTTCACGCAATGGAATGAAATCAAATTTCTTCTCGCGTCTTTTGCTTTGCGAGTGGCATTGAGACCACAAAGCTGATTGGAAAATAGGTTTAAGCTAACTAAAAAGACCAGAAATGAGGAAGAATCCTAAAAAGGTTTTCAATGCTCAACATACACTACTAGGTTACGATGTAAATTTATTAGGATCCCGCAGAAGTTTGAAACCCAGAGAGCTTCAATTCACTCATATTCGTAACTAGTAAAGATTGTATTGCACGTAAACTTAATAATTGCTTATGCAGACAGAGCTTTCACTCTCGTCTTTTTCGTTATTATATATCGCACTCAGTTATTTAATTATATCATAATTTTTCCTTTTCATATCATTTTTCTTTCCTTACTTTCTTTTCTTTAATGATTTAATATTTTCTTTGCAGTTTTCTCTTTCCAATCAAAGTAAAATCTCTGATGATTTTTTTCAAATGTCTGAACGTTGCATGCGCCTCGAAAAAGTACCTGAACGATATAAAGCTCAATTCACGGAATTTCAATTCCCTAACGATGCTATAGTACATAAGTACATACTTTGTGTTAATAGAGAATTGCAAATTTGGGATAATAATCAGGGTTTCGATATTGAGAAAATCTACCAACAATATAGAGGACGAGCTAATGAAGAGGTGGTACTACCGATCATATCGCGATGCAATCAAGACGCCAAACAAAGAAATTATGAATTATGGTGTTACAAGGCATTCCTATGCATACTCGATACACAAGTAGGCGAATGGTTTAAAGAAGATGTCCGGCGTCAACAGACTCGTACGCTAACAAACGGACATCAGTAGAAGAAGCCTTTATTTATGCATAGGGTTTTATTAAAAAAAAAAAAAAGAAGAAAAATCTTATAAATAAACTTATTTTAAAGGAAACTATAATAAAAAAAAGTGTTTAAATGTTATGTTATATGCTACTGATTATGCACTTTAGCTTACATGAAATGAAGTCTAACCAATGCCGCTTAACAATTTGCAAGAATTGGTTTGACGTGCATGTATGCTTGATTCAACGCAAAGTCGTCTATTTCTTTAGGTAAATTTGTTACTCACGTCCTTTTCATATTTCATATAAACGTGGTAGTGTAATCAAATTGTACATATATATATAGGGTATAGTATGGTAGTAATTTACGGTGGAAGGGATGACAGCGCGAAAAGATATAATGTTGTCTTCGGCAATGAAGATTTCTGCTTTGCTATCTTTGTCATCGGACTCTTCAAGCATATGTGTATGAATATATGTGTATATAGCTGAATATGTCAACTCAATATGTAACGTAGAAATGTAATTTTTAAGTTTTCCTTTCAACTCCCTACCCTTTCATTCAAATTTCATGGAATATGTCATGCATATTAAAAAGACATTTAATGTGTCTGCTAATAGGCAATAAATGCGGCGGCTACAAATTACCTTTAAACGAAAATTTCCTAGTGATAAATTATATAAAATGAACATAGACAGTCAATGTTAAGGGTGAGAAGCAATTTATTTATAAATCTTAAGCAAGCGAATTCCTCCTCGCCTTATTGCCTACACTCTCACCTTAATGCCGAAAGAAAGCCATTTGCTTCATTGAGGCAAATTTATGCTGATGTAATATAATTTACATTAGTTCTTAAGAAAGTTCCACTTATTATTTGGATTATTTTACTTTGCCTTCCCCTTTCCTTCACATACCTACGGTTAGTAAGAGATCGATTTAAAAATGGTTTTTAGTATCAACGTACTATAGCAAGGTATTTTAAATATTTTCAAGGAAATATTAAGTTTGTGCAGATTAATAGAATGCCTAGGAGGATTTCAAATTGGGTCCAACTTTTATAATACCAATCTATTCAGAATCGTTGCCATTTTGTATCGACCTGTCCACCTTGTGTTCTTGTCTTTAACCTATAGGTCGCAATTTTTGGTATACATTAATGAAATTTTGTACACCAGCGTGCTTTAGCCCAACGACATAAGCTGCTGAAAAAGATTCGGATCGGACCACTTTTTCGATCATTTCCGATATATCACCTTATTCTTGAAAGATAATAATAATAATAATAATAACTGTAGGATAATGTAGGAGTATTTTTACATTTTTTTTTAATTTCCAATCGCATGGATAAGGAGTTGATGCAAACGGAATTTATTACAATGCGTCATGTAATAATTATGTAATATTACGTCAATACATATAGCTAAACAAATCCTCTTTTTTAGTTCAAGAAGATGTACATGCAAATATAAGATCGTTCGTATTCGCATGTTCATCCGCTTTCTCTATACCTATATCCCATATGTCGCCTTATTTCGGAAAGACGCTTTATGGAAAACTGTGGAATGGTAGGTTACTAAATGGTGGCTCTTGGCTCACTAGTTTAGTATGCTTACTTGATAAATTCAAATTTTGAACAAACAGAATATTTCCAGAATTGTAAATCGAAGCAGAACATGTACTTAAACTATGGAAAGATGTGCTTCAGAGCATAGTTTTTTTAAAGTGATGTAAAAAATGTATTGTTCCAGCCGATATCTGGACAAAATTAGAATAGAATGTAGTATGTGAAAGTCTCTAAGTACTCCCTGCAGGTTCTCGAATGCAAGAGTGTGCCGAAAAGTTTCGATAATCGTAGACATCGACAGAATGGGGGAGGGATGTGCTGTATTTATGTGTAGATATATTTAGGATAGCGGGCCATAGAGATTTGCCTTCAATCAAGTCCTTTACCACTGTTTGCCTTTGTTAGCCTTCGCACGACATCCTATCGCGAATCGTCGTTCTTCAACCGCGCTGCTCTGTGTCGTAACAACCTATAATGATCTTTCCTATCGTTTCAGATATTTCCATAACCAAATGTTTTTCCCCCTTCTCCCCGTTTTCTATCTGCAATCTTTTATGACGACCACCATGCCCACATATGTACAAAATATCTCCGGAACGGCTATTCGAAAAACAATGTCACAAGCATGGAAAATCGTGTCCAGGGCCTTTCCTCCCATTTCATTCTCGATTCGGTTTGTTTTCACTTCTCTAGCAGACCAAGCCACACAAATATAAGCTGCATCTGGGTATCAGGTTTGTTGTTGCATAAAGTTTAACGAAACAATCCTCCTGCATATAGTTGAATATGCTTGTTTAGGTGATTGAAATATACATGTCATATATATGTACATGTACGTGATACTATTTAACATAAATTTTTTGCGAGCTATAAAAAAACGTACTCTTAAAAACGTTTTCCGCTTTCATTCTACTTTATGTTCTTTTTCATATGTTCCAACCTCTAGTAAATTCTTCGTCAGAGTTTTTAAGTTATTTATTTCTATTAATAATAAAAATTTTACCGGCAGATAAAAAACAAATCTCACTCTATCACAAATCTTTTTCACTTTTTTTTTATGCTGTCATAAAATTAAATTAAAACTGAAAAAATGTTTTTAACAACAGTTTAAAACAAAAGTGATTAATGGAGGCTATTAAAATGCAGTTTTTGTTTTCTGTTTAGAGCGTTTCTTTAAATGAAAAAAACATTGCTTTAATTCTTGCAAGCAAAACTCGTAGGTGATGTTTTAATAAAATGCGTTTTAAAAGACTTAGCAGCAGAAGGACTTGAGAGGTCAATATGGTCTACATTTTCTTGGACTAGAAATCACATGATATAAAATTGTATGAGTTACCTACCAAGGGTCCAGCCATTCAGCCAATGAGCATCAAAATCTATTTGACTAACATCACTGTTCACGATTTATGGAAGATAGAAAGAATTAATGCAAAGGGATGAACTGCAATTGATGCTCTTTGCATTTAAATTTTCTAAATAAACCAACCTCTTGCCTATAGAAGGCAGTCAGTTATATAATGACCGAACTTAGATCACAAGCTAACCTTTCTGTCTAGCCGGATATGTGTAGCAAGTAGTAATTAAACGATCTCCTTAAACTTGACACTTTCTTCTCTAACCCTTCAAAATTTTGGGTTGCGTTGAAGCATATTTGGACCGGTGAGAGACTATTCCATATATACCACAAGCAATTTGGGATTACCAAACACATCCTGACTTAATCGGTCATTTCTAAGCCTAAATGTCTATGTTACGGTGAGAGTGACCTCCAAATATTTTACTTAACTCTTTAAAAGCTATCTTACGTTCTCACGCATTGCCTCAGCCCAATATTGTGTGTCCATTAAGATAGAATTGTAATTGGTAGAGCAGTTGCTTATCCTCACGGTACAACTACTTAGGCCTTAATAGAAAAATGTGAAAAATTGTCGTTCATCATATATGCGCACTAGCTTTGTTCGATGAGCATAAAACTGAATAACTTTTAAATCGATAGCCATCTAGCTTCAAATAATCCTTTTTCGCATTTTTCCATAATTTTCAGGCTGCGTAATGCTGCGACATTTATACAAATTGCAAAATGCGAAAATCATAAGTATCCTGTTTGCCGCACCCAACAACATCATTATAATTCATATCACGTATTATTATTAATCACAAGCATTACTTGCTTCCAGTTGTTTATTTATTTGGCTTTTTTGCTTTATTATCATAATTATGTGATTGTTAACATTGTTGCCGTAATTGCCGTAAAGGAGAACCTTTAGAAATTTAAATTCAACCATAAACGGCATGGCCGTAAAATGGAAAATGGCGGTCTTCTCTTAAAGATGTAAATAGTTCAGCAAACAGAGTTAATCCCTATCATTCGTAATAAATGACATAAAACACTTATTACGAACGTATATATTTAGATTACCCTACATGTTTTTTCTTATCAGTTAGTTTTAGTTACACACACAACCCTCACATGTCAAATATGCTTTCGCATCACGTCCCATGCATTGGGTATTCAGTGGCCCTAAACATTATATCGACTTTTGCTTTTCATTTTCGATGTACAAGGATCATCCAAAGTTCGTTCTCTCTTCTTGACCCTCCTCTCCATTGCATTGCTTCGCATTTCTAGGAAACATCTTTATAATCTGGGAGAGGAAGTCCCCGCTTGAAAATGCTCTACGAATGTAGAAATTCTTTTAGCAATCGATAAACTTTAGCAATGGTACGACTAGATGCGCACATATACAAAATTGAAGCAAAGTACATGACTTAACCCGTTCGAAGTCGATTTCTCTTCGACTATTCAAATAAGAAAAATTTCTTGTGGAGTATTACACATTAACCATTGGTCTTGCATAAATACAATTTACTTGGCAATCATCCCACAGACTGCAGGCTCCTTTTGTGAAAACGTAACACCCAGAGAGAAGCTTTACAGGCTCTATTAAGTGTATATACTTTTTATCTGCAACAAATTCTGAGGCGACATATAGTAAGAAGCGCTTGTCCGCAATAACTGCAGTAAATATTTTTTGGAAGGCATTGTCATCAACTTTGCCTTCGGAAATGGGCTAACTCGGTGAAAGTGACACGTTTACCGTATTACAAAAAGACTTCCATGCGCACATTAAGCATCATCTACAGGGATAGGGGGAAATCGGCCAATCGTTGCCTTTCTTATAGAAAATCGAAATGTCTTTCGTTTTTTCCTTATTATCTTGTCTCGAAATTTTTCTTTTAAACAAAGTTTCTTCGCATTCGAATATAATTTTCTTACTTCCTCAGTTAAGTGAAGATAGATGAGTGAAGAGTAAAGATCTATATCTTAAAAAAATCTATAATTGATCAGTTGATTGCTTCCTGTACAATTTTGAGGAATAGGGTAAGAGCAAGAATTACACTCAGTCAGTGGAGATAAACAAGGATGCATAAGACTAGTTGGCGAGAAGTCAGTTAAATAATATTTCTTATTATCTTAAAAGCATAATAAAA